TGGAATGAGAAATAGCTTGGGCATTTTAATGCTTGGTCCCCAGATGTGGCCTTGTTAAAGGACTTATGCTGCTGGAGGTAGGAATTGATAGTTTAAAGATTTGCATCAATTACGGTTTACTCTCTTTTCTTTGTGCTTGTGGTTCAATGTGAGCTCTCAACTTGCTGCTCCAAAGGACAAACTTGTCCCTTCCTTGTTTCTCCCTGTCATGATGGATTCTTATGAAATCTGGAACCATAAACCCAAATAAACCTACCTTTTTTTAAGTTGCCTTGGTTATAGTGTTTTGTCACATCAGTAGGAAGTAATGAGAACACTGTACATTTCTTGAGTTAGACTCTTCTGGGTATATGTCCAGGAGTGGTACAGCTGTGTTAGAGGGAAGTCTTGGTTTCAGCTTAAAAAACAAAAAACAAAAAACTTCCTCACTAATGTCCATGGTAAATGGATTAATATGTGTAACATTATTAGTGTGTAGATGTTCCTTTATCCCGCATTTTTCCAAGTTCATTGTTTTTCATTTTTTTAAACTTTATGATTTCATTTTATATTGAAACCACAGGCGTCCCTCCCACCCTTCCTCCCTATCCAATTGCCTTCTCCCTTCCTCCTCGCCTCTGCCCTAGCCCACCCCAAGTCCACTGCTCCTCATGGGTAAGGGCTCCCATGAGGAATCAACATAGTCTGGCACAATAGGAGAGGATAGGGCCGGGCCCCTCTCCCATGCATTAAGACTGATCATGGCATCCCACCATAGGGAATGGATCATGATAGAGAAATCTACAGAGACAACTGCACCAGGCTCGTGGAAACTCATGAACTCTAGATCTACAACTGTGGAGACTCCAGGGTGCCAAACTAGGCCCTCCATATGTAGGAGACAGATGTAAAGCTTGAATATCAGAGGGGCCCCTGGCAGTAGGACCAAGATACAAACCTGGTACATGAGCTAGCTTGTTGGAGCCCATTCCTTAGGGTGGGATGCCATGCTCAGTGGTGATAGCACCACAATATAATCCCGGTACTTGAGCTAGCTTGTTTATTGTTTTCTGGACATCAGTGATTTTTACTAAGGTACTCTGGAAACACAAAACCATTTTGTGTCTCCCTGAGGGATGAAAGTCCTGATCACTTTGTCATACATTTATTTGTCACTATCCACTAGATAAGTGCTCATTTGTGATTTAGATTAATTGTAATTTATTTGCTTTCTGAGCTCTTCAAATACACCAGATTTACACAATCTGTATGACAAATATCTGACAATGCACTTCTGCCATTATTCAGTTATTCAACTGTCTCTGCATTGAGTATCTTTGGTAGTATTGACAGTTTTGTTCGTGTGTGTGTGTGTGTGTGTGTGTGTGTATGTGTAGTGAATTTTTGCTGATTTCCAGAGCTATTAAAATACTTTCCCCAAAGTTACTGCTTTTGTCAAAATCTTTGTTTTCCATGTTTTTTTTTCTACTACTTTTCAATTTGCAAGCCTTATACAACTGTCATTAGTTCCTTTTTGGGTGATACTTTAAAAATTATTTAGCTTTATTCTGTGAAGATTGTTTGACATTGTGAGATTAAGTATACCACAGGAAGGCCTGTACCTATGAAGTCCTCAAAAGGGTATTTGGTACCTGGAAGTGCAGTTACAGATAGTTTTGAGCTACTACATCAACTCTGGGACACTCAGGCTATCTGAAGAAGAAATTCTTTACTTTTGGACCATCACTCTAGCACTTTGGATAATGGAATGATGGTAATGTACAGTTGATAAACCAGGATCTAGTTTCAGTCTTTTACATTTGAATACACAATTTCCTAGATTCAGTCTCTATGGTGACACAGACACAAAAGAATATCCAAGCCCTTTCACAAACCCCATTCAACAGCACTTTAAAAAGATTGAATTTTGCGACTAAGTTAGAAATATTCTTTGAGTTCAAGCATCGTAAATATATACAAATTGATAAAACAATATGTCATGTGAAAAATTATGTGACAGATTCTCATAACCCGCCCAATAACTGTAAAAGCAAGACAAAACAAAACAACAACAAAATGAACAAATAAAAAAAACTCTTCTGAGAAATCAGCACATTTTCAGGATAAAGACACTGAGGTAGTAGGAGGATGAGCATGATAACTCAACACGATGAAGTCTGTAGTGGATAAGCCAATATTTAGCCTTGAATTAAGTGGAAAAATTGAAATAATTTTATCAGAAAACTTAATATTGTATGATTGGTATTACTTACTGCAAAATGATAATAAAATAATATTCTTCTGAGGTTTAGCTTTGAATTTGTACTATTTGTTGTAAATGGACATTTTGTGAAATATTCATTCTGTCATGTATCAAATTTTGTGACAATATTGGTCATTTTGAACATATACATATATAAATTTATATATATGCACATAATAACAACTAATGAAATAAAGGGGGCATTAAATAGAAAGATATCAAGGTGAGGTTGAAGGGAGAAAAGGCATAAGGGAAATGATATGAATATATTTATAATGTAATCTAAAACATAAAAGGGAAATTATATATTTATTTTTAATATATATGATAAAATGTTTTATGTTTATATATTAGAAATGTATAGGATAAATATATGTTATCAAAGTGGTTATCTTTTCTCCAACCTATATTTTTAGCACCATTTTCAAACTCACATAACTGTCTGTGTGGAATACCACCTGGGTGCAGAACTCTATGTCTTTCGTGTAGATATTTGCTTTTGTGCCGGTACTATGTTGTTTTTGTTATTAAATCTGTAGAGTATAGGTCGAAGTAAAGTGTGGTGATACACTCTTCTCAGTTGGGATTACTTTGGTTGTCCATTGCCCTTTGTGTATCTATATAAACCTTTTAGTTTGTCTAATTTGTGTTTGTAAAGAAAGACCTTGATATTTGAATGGTATTGTATTTCATCTCTAGGTTGCTTTTCAACAGAAGGGCTTGTTCACATAATCAGTTTTCTCAGATATTTAGCATGTGATGTCTTTCTGTCTTCTGATGTCTTCCTCAATTTCTTTTTTCAGTTTCTTAACGTTTTCATTGTAAATATTTCATTTCCTTGGTAATATTACTCCCATTCTTTTCAAGCTTTCTGTTTTGTTTCTTCTGGCTTTTGTGGATTAGATTAATTCCCTGATCACGTTCTCAGCATGTGTGTCCCTGGTATATAGGAATCCTGATTATACTTCACTGATTTTTGTATATAGCATCTTTAGGGTCTCTGACTTCACAAACTTTACTTCTACACTTTGAGTTCTTTTCCTGTTTATATCCCTTTTATTTTTTCCTCTTATCTTACTTAGTCCATTTGTGATATGTTGAGTCAATATCCTTGACTTTAAACTGTGACTGAAGAGTAATAAAAGGGGAATTTGGAAGCAGAATCACTGAATTCTGTCTTAGAGTACACAGTAATGGGACTAAGTTTAGGCAACACAAAAAAAATCAAGATACTTTCCCTCCAGCTGTATTGAATCTGCTTGTCTGTCTGTTTGTGTTTGTCTGTCTCTCTCTGTCTCTCTCTCTCTTACACACACACACACACACACACACACATATACACATTCTCTCCTGCAAAATAGAATCACATTGAAAAACAGGATAAATGATGTAACTATTTGGTAATTCTATAATTTGCATCACAAACCAAAGCCTAGCTACAATGCAAACATCAAATGCTGAAGATACACATATAAATTAATATGTGGCTCCCACTTTTGAGCAGGGAGCTTGAAAGGTATTGTGGGGTATAGGATATCTGAAGACTGAGAAGATTCACTCTTTCAAAAACTAACACTCTATGAGTTAGGAGTTCAGCCGTTCTGACAGATGCCAAACAAAGCAAAACTTTGGAAGTGTTGTAGAATTAAAACACAGGTGTCATATTATCTTGACAAAGGGAGATTTTCTTTCAGTTTTAGTTGCAATCATCCTAGGGGAGCATCTGAAGGGTGTGATATTTCATTTGACTCTTCTGCGAAAATGTTGGGCTGGTGGAAGTAAATATTATTATTTTGTTCTGAGTTAAAGGAAAAACATAAGAAGGTTAGCGTTTTCATATAAACTCTAGTGTTGAATAACTTATTGATTTTAAGTTGAATGAACAATTGCTTAGTTAGAGAATTAGTGGAAGAAAATGAAAGTCCTTGAACAGAAACTTAATCCTCACTGAACATATAATAGAGAGTAAAAAGAGGGATGCAAGAATTAAATATGTCAAAAGGAAATAATATTGCTGAGTTAAAGCTTACAAATCTCCATTGCCTTGTTGCAAGCCTCATGGTTGAAAATGATTTCCCTTTCTCCCAACCTATCTTCTCAAGATACAGTGAACAGGTTTGTAAGTTTAAAAATCTTTCCTAAACAGCATGAAATGTTCTCTTTTCTTCAGTATGATAAAGTTGATTCACTTTCTGGGTAGAATACAAGGTTTTGTACAGATCTTCTGGAAATTTTTCATTTCTCTTGTCTCAGGGTTCCTCACCTGGGGTGCACAGCCACCATGAGCAATGTGTCCCTGGAGGCTCCATATAGGACATCCAGGTGTCAACGCCCCTTTGATGGTGATGATGTTGTAAGATGAAGGAGTGTCTTCAACCCTCAGGAGTCACTAGCCTACTAGGAACATTGATGTGATGTTAAGACTGGTATTTCACTTCCTAACAGCATAACACCTTAGGCTGTTCTTCAAAACATTCAACCTACAAACCTCAATGATGGCTTTGGGTGATCATTGTGTGAATGCAAGAATTTAGCATTTCTTTTTCAGGGAAAGGGAATAGTTTTGAAAGACTTTTATGTTTTATTAAAAAAGTATTTTTATTATTATTATGTTTTTTAAAATTAGAAAACAAGCTTGCTTCACATGTCAGTCCCAGCTCCCTCTCCCTCCCCTCCTCCTGAACCACCCCCACAGCCCCCCTCAACCTCCCCTGTCCCACCCTGTCCCCACTCCCTTAAGCATAAACCTAAAAAAAGATTTTTCCTTTTTTCATATTTATTCTTCTCTTATTCAATACATACAGACTACAGCCTCCACGCCCCAACCCTCACAGTTCAACCCCAACCTCTCCTCCCTCCATTCCTCATGTTTCACTCCCAGACTCCCCTCATAGTACCTCTTGTCTCCCTTCTTCTCCAGATCAAAGTAAATACAACTATGTGCTTTGAAATCTTACTTAGCTGGGTGTTGGTGGCGCACGCCTTTAATCCCAGCGCTCAGGAGGCAGAGGCAGGCGGATCTCTGTAAGTTCGAGGTCAGCCTGGTCTACAAAGTGAGTTCCAGGACAGCCTCCAAAGCTACAGAGAAACCCTGTCTCGAAAAACCAAAAAAAATTTCTTACTTAACCATACTACATAATATAGTAGTCTTCAGAGAGGAACAGTCTTGATTTGTATTGTGCTGATTAGTTCTTGTAGAAGGTTGGCCTTGTAAATTGTTATTCCTGCATTGGGTTCAGAATCTTGACATGCACATCCTGTTGGCAATGTATATTCACCATTGTTCATGTAATTACTCCAGTCTTCAGAATTTTCCTGTGATCTTCAGAAGGCAATCATAGTATGTATTGTCAAGGCAATATTGAATTTATTACAAATGCTATTCTTCTGTACAAAAATAAAATAAAAACCCTTCCATTTATTTATACTAATTTCAAATATTATTCATTTCATTAAAAATGATGAGAGAATAGTTTTATCACCAAAAGAACTATGTATCTTCTTACAGTATTTCTCTGGTGATGATAGTCTTGTATACTATATAACTTTGTCTGTTATATATTAATTGAGAAAGAGCTTTACAATAATCTTTTAACATAAATTTACTGAATCAATGGGAAATTATCTATAAGAAATCAACAATACAGGGAATAATTGATATGTTACTTCATGTTCTTGCATTCAATATTTATGGAAATTTTATATAAAATTACTATTGATAAATATGAGAAATATGTCTTCTATTTTTGTCTTTCTAAAATTAAAAAAGTCTGCTTACAATATTTCCTGAGAAAAGAATCATAAATCCTTTACGTAAATTTATCTCCTGGCAACAGAGTCTCCTTCTGCCCTACCTAAGCAGTTTCTATTCTGACTATTTATTAGCAATTATTAATAGTCTTCAATATTTCCCTTTTGGGCATTTTATCAGAAATTAAATGCATACTAACTATACAAATCATAAACTGTGCAGAGAGCACTTTAGTCTCCATCTAAATATATTTGTTCACAGTATAGAAGCTGTAATCTTAAAAAGGGATACAGCAAGGCTCCTTAAATGTTAGTCCTCCACAGATGATTACTTCAACATGATGGCTATTTTAAAAATGGACTGAATACCAGATTAACTTCACATAATTTAGGTTCTCTCACAGGAAAAGGAAATGGTGACAAAGAAAATGTAAGGCACACTGTATAATTACAGTTTTTAGATTCATGTCTAGATGGTATTCCTTGTCATGCATAATTTAAAAAATATACAATATATTCTTCCTGTATATGAGATAACAAGAAAAACTAGAAACTGTGTAAGAGTACAACAGCATTTCAATAAACCCATATGTATTATATTAGGGCTATGGCTATGTGATTGATGCAATCTTGACTGCAAGCTTTCAAGTAAGACAAGTATTGGTCACATAAGGGTCTGCAGGGAACCATAAGCAGTATCTGTCTTAGGTCTGAGGATGTACAGTACATGTATTTAAACACAAAACTTTGAAGTTTAGAAAGGTCCCAAGATTCATTCAGAATAAGTAATTAATTCTGTATGAATAAAACATTAGAAATGCATAAATGCAAAGAATTTGATAAAACTGAAAGGTTTTAGGTCAGAACAAAATTTAGGAGCAGTCAATTTTCAATCATGTTTAAAATCTCAGTAAAAGTGTAGAACAACATAGAAAAACCTCGAGGGTAAATTACATTGATAGTGGTAACAAAAGAAGTCCCTTCAGATGTTATGTACTAAAAGGTTATTTCTGAGTTTATAATCTATGGGTTTACATTTAGAAATGTTAAACACCAGTTTTATTAATATTTTCTGATAAATGTCATATATGATGTATGGGTTCTACTCTCAGTCCTTTCAACTTTATCAAATATAACATTTTTTCTAAATGTATTGTTCTGTTTTTGTTGTTATTTATATTTTTGTGCCTCATCCCCTGAAAAGGTTTTTATATAATATTTTGACCTTGACTACAGAAGTTCTCTAGACAATGAACCTTCAATATATAGGTGATTTTAACCATGGAGAATCATCTGTGCATACTGTTAATATGACCAGTATGACCTGGTTTACTAAGTCGTGATAAACGCCATGACTTAAAGCAAGTTGGGAACAAATGTGTCTATTTTCTGAAATGGCCGAATCACAATAAATTATTGAGGAAATTCAAAGCAGCAACATAATAAAGGGGGCAGGAAATAAACCATTGAGGAAAGCTGTTTACAGGCTTGATTTTGGACCCATGTTCAGATACATTTCTCATATCTCTGAGGACTACTTACCCTGGGACAGAATGGTCCCCAGTGAACTTGGCCTCCCACATCAAACTTTAAACAATAAAATGCCCCACAAACATGTCCATGGCCCAATATAATGTTGAATATTTCTTATTTGAGACTCCCCCTTTCCAATGTATCTAGCTTGGTGTCAAATAGACAAAACCTAAATGGCACAGTACTTACTATAAATATTTTTGGGATGCACACAAATTGTATTTCAAGACAAACTATACTACAAAATGTTTCAAAGACAGAAGTAATTCATTACATTTAGTTTGTAAACTAACTGTTCTGTGTGCTTCTTGGGCTTGATCAAACATTAAAGTGTTTATTCATTGTTCCTTGGGATGAGGGTACTTACTTTGAAGTTGTGCTAAAGCTTTTATTTGTGTCTTAAAAGGAAGATTAAGCATGGCAGGATAATTTACCTTAAGTTGTGTGTGCTTTTATGTTTTTCCCCTCATTTTGTGGGGTTATTTTTTGTGTCGTTGGTTGCTGTTACTGTTTGAGAAAGAACTTGAAGGTGGGTGATTAGAGAGTTGGGTGGATCTGGAAACATGAGCAAGTATCTCTGTAGTAAGATAAAGAGTTCTTTGGATATATTCACTACAGTTTCATAGCTGGATCTTGTGTGTCTATACCCGTAGATTAGGTCTCACTCAGCCTTCAACAGAGAAGTCTCTTCTTGAAGTAGGTGGTAATTGACACAAGATCCATAATGAGGCAATGTGCAGAGAAGTGAGAGATCATGGAGCATGGAAAATTCTGACCTAAACTGTCTTTATCAAACCTCTCCCCCCAAAGTCAAAGGTCTATGTAGAAGAGAAGGTGGGAAGATTATAACAACAAGAGATGTTGGACATCTCTAAGGAAACAGTATTTTCCAGAAACAAAGGGGCTGTTGCACGTGTAGACTCACAGAAACTTTGACAGCATCAACAAGACCTGCCTACATTTCTACCATTCAACCGAGGATCAGAAGTACAACTTGTTGATAACAAAGGCAGGTTTATAGTTATGACAAATATAGTCTACCAATTAAGTAACCCAAAATAAGTTAAATATGACAAATTCATTAATGGAATTATTTTTCACTTTCAGAATCAGGAACAGATAGATTTTATGAGAATCCAAATGATTCCAGAATTAGTATGTTTTACTTTGCTGGACTGACATTTGTCTCTCTAACATAGTATTAGGACTTTGCATATAATATATTTTGCTTGTTAGTTATTCCAAAAAAGGTTTACTAATTTTCGTAGTTGTGGAGCTAAGTATAAGATGAGATGATAAATACATATAAAATATCTATGATGGGTTTACTGTCTTGCTTTACAGATAGACTATAAATAATCATAATGCCATCTGTCTCAACTAGCACACATGCCAGAAACCCAGAAAGAAAATATACAAATACAATGCTATTTTTCAGGAACGAAGAGGCATGCTGAATTGGATACTCTAATTTGAGAACAGGGATTTCTACCTATCTGTGAGTGTAAAAGGCAAAGGGGGAGATGCCTACAGGAGAAGACCCTGAAGTTTTACAGTGAAGTCTGAAAGCAAGAAAAGAGGTTTGGGTTCAAACTGTAAAGGATATCATTGTCTATGCATAGAAACTCATCAAACAAGAATACACTAAATACATAAGTAAGCTCTTGTTGAAATCCTATAACCAGGGAAAGCTCTCAGAAGCCCTACTTCAGAAAGGAAACAGTCATTTTGTATGTCTAAAGTACTCCCTCTTCATTTGTCTGTATCAACAACTTAAAATTATTCAATGGAAAAATTCCATATGATGAATCACCTCCCAGTAGGTTAAAAGAAGGTAGTGCATAGGAGGTAACTCATCCTTTATTAGTGTATCCATGCTATGTACACTACTTGCCCATAAGTCCCTTAGTAGCCAACTAAGATCAAACATTTCACCAATTATGCTCAAATGATGGATATTATTCCTGATGGCTCCAAGATAGAAGAGTAGTAATGCTGTCCACCTTGACATCAAAAGAGAAAATATAAAATAAAGTGTTGCAGCATGTGAAAATGTCAAGACTTTTACAATGAGAAGAAAGAAAAACTGCTGTGTGGCAACTAAGGTCAATTTTTGAAGAGGAGGGGAGAGGAGGACATGGGGGAGCAAGAAAGTTGAGTCAGGGAAAAATATAGGAGAGCAGGATGAGAGATACCATAACAGAGTAGGCCACTTTAGGTTTGAGGAGAGATATGGAATTCGTGAGATTTCCAGAGATCTACAAGGATGACACCATCTGGCAATCTAACCAATAGTGGAGAGGCTACCTTAAATGCCCTTATCCGATAATGTGACTGATGACTACCTTGTCTGCCATCCTAGAGCCTCCATCCAATGGTTGATGGAAGCAGAGGCAGACACCCACAGCTAAACACTGAACTTAACTCCTGAAACCTGTTGCAGAGAGGGAGGAGCAATGAGTAAAGGGGTGAATACCAGGCTGGAGAAACCCACAGAAACAACTGACCTGAACAATGGGGAGCTCATAGACCCAAGACTGATGGCTGAGAGGCCAGCATGGGACGGAATCAGATCCCCTGAATGTGGGTGTCAGTGAGAAGGCCTAGGCAATCTAAGGGGCCTTGAGTAGATCAGTATTTATACCTGGCATCCAAATGGAATTTGGGATCCCATACCACATGGAGGGATGCTTTCTCAGCCTAGACACACAGGGGAGATCCTAGGCCCTGCCCTGGATGATATGACAGACTTTGGAGATCCCATATAAATGGCCTCAACCTCCGTTGGGAGTGGAATTGGGACTGGGTGGGAGTTTGGTGAAATTGGAGGGTAGGGGAGGAAAGGAGTGAGAGGGAGCTGGGATTGACATGTGAAGCAAGGTTGTTTCTACTTTAAATTAAAAACGTGAAAAAAACATTGCTTTTTGCTTTTGATCAAACTGTAAAAGCTAAGGGCACAGAATATGGTAAGTGGTGGCATGAGGTGGAAAACATTAGATCTCTATATGCATGTGTAGTTATTGTAGAGCACATACACAG